TTTCTTTCTGTTGCGGTGTAAGTTCTTGCACGTTTTGAATTTTAATGGCTTTACCCCGAGTTCATTTTTTAATATTTGCCAAATGGAATATTGCGATATGTTCAGATCATGAGCCATTTTTCGGCCACTGCGACGCGGGTTTCGTTCAAGTCGCTTCTTTACTTTTCGAACCATTTCTGCTGATGTTGCTGTTTTCTTCCGTCCACTTCATTGACGTTGGGCTACGCTACCAGTATCACAGTAACGAGCGATGGTACGAAACACAAAAGATTTATTCACATTTAAATGCTGGAGTGCTCTAACGATAGCCGCTTGTGGGTTTCTAGCCAAATATAAAGAAATCACACTATCACGCTTGAATTCCATCACGAATAACTTTTTTTCTGGAAAATTCTCACCCAAAATGCTTTTGTACACTTGAATAATTTTGAATAATTTTAACATCTGCCGGATGTGTGTTGCCGTATTTTCATCTCTCACTGCATTTTTTTTTTTTTTTTTTTGAAAATTTCGACCAACCTTGCTTTTCAAAATCTCCGGATACCAACGGATTGGTATCCGGAGATTTTGGTGACCATTGTGCGCTGGAAATGAAGCGAGGAACCTCATTCTTGGGTGGCGCGTGCTGAGTGCGATGGTGCTGAGTCCTGTTGGAATGTCCAAGGTGTGCGGCCAAAATGTTTGGGTGCCCAAGGCTTTAATACACCCTCCAGAATATTTTCGCGATAATATTCGGCATTTATTCTGATGCCACGGTCGATTAATACGAGCGGAGAGCGACTATCGGCCGTTATGGCGACCCACACCATCACCATGGCCGGCGCTTGAGTTCTGGTGGCCAATGGCTTAGAAATGACAGCAGTCTGAAGTTGGTTGCAGTTTTTTCATCTCACCCTGCATTTTTTTTTTTTTTTTTTAAATTTCGAATTTTTGTGGAGGATGTACCAGAAGGAGTGGACCGATATTGCCCCCCTCCGGCCTCGATCTATGTTTGACAATAATATTACGATGTACCAGGTTTGGTCCAAATCGCATACTCCCTTCGAGATTTATCGTGCACACCAACCAGACAGGCAGATCGACTTCAAATGCCCTGAAACGGATTTGGTCCAAAGAGACCTAGGGTCGAAAATCGTTATTTCGACGAGGCTAGCTATATGGCTGAGGGTATAAAAATAATTTTAACACTTCATGCGAGAAACGCCTGTGTTATATTTGTTTGAAAGCAAGGAAGTGGTTTAAGATTACTGGAGAGAATGCCAGGAGAGAAAGCGATAGGAAATTTCCAAAATTCAGACAAGGATTTATGGAAACAAATAAGAATAATTTCCCAAAAAGAAGACGGTGATGAAGAAGATATATTTTAGAATATCGATGATGAAGAAATTCAAATTTTAATTATCTTGAAAATGGAGGGGCATCTGGAAATGTTAATGTCGGAGAGAAAGGACAGGCAAAACACACACCTCACCATGCAAAAACGGTTGTTGCGCCATATATTGATGATACCAAATTCAAATAAATTTGTTGAATATTATGACTTGCTATGATCCCATTTAAAAGAAATTGTGTAAAAAGAACCGAAAACATCCCTTTAGCTCGCTTGATGGTTAAAGGATTTTCTGAAGACACAATCTAGTTGAATTGAACGGATTCGAAGGAATCTTTATCGGAAAAGCTGAGTACTGAGAACGAGGCGAGATAATCTCCCTTTATTTAGGATATTTGCGGTGCATTCTTTCAGAATGCCGATTCACGTTTCCTCTATTTTTAGCTCTTCTTTCATAAACCTCTGAATTTTTCCAGTAAATACTCTTTGTGTTACCCGGTGTTATGTTAACAACAACAAAAACAATACCTTCACTTGTTGTAGACATGATAAGGTGATGATACTATCCTATGGTCTCAGTGTGGACTACGAAGAATAGGGGATGACCAGGATTTACTTTTTCCTACCATCTAATACATACCATCACCATTGTCGCTCTTCTTTTAAACCAACCCTCGTTCCTAAGCCCTTCTTTGTTATAAAAATGCCTGGGGCATTACAATGTAGGCTTGTTTACAGAAATTTAGCTTTTTATTACAGTTTGTGCAATTTATTTGTGATAATTTGTCATTTGTTAGGTAATAAATGCTCCAATAATTTTTCGTTTCCTTCAGGGACATTCCTCACTGTGTCTTTCAAACTTCCCATAAAATTTCCGTCGAGAACTATGTGAAACAATTAAGGCTTCTTCCCTATTTTTTGTTGCTATTAACCTTTTAATAATTTCACTACGTTATTTTGCATTTACTTTTTCTCTGTATATTGTTTTCAAACACGCAACCTATAAATAATATGTTGGTATATAGATATTAGCTTATCATCGCCCAAACTTCTAATCGCTTATTAAATTTAATTAACTTTAATTTCGTATAACTTATTTTTAGATAAAAACTACATTGACCTATATAAAAAAGCAGTTAGATAAAGTCATAAGTCGGGCGGGGCCGACAATATGATACCCGACATCACTGTGCGTATTTAGAAGAGCTCCCGTAAAACAAGAATTTATTTGAAATAGATCATACCACCTATCAACATTCGGCTTTAGAGCATTTATAGTTAGGTTTCAGAGGGAACTAATATATGGGAGGCATATCCAATTCTGAATCGATTTTCACTAAATTTGACGGAGACATTTTAATCTTTTATACGAAATAACATTGCTATAGAGTGTAGGATATTACTTGGAGAAGGATTATATTAAAAAAACATATATCGAAGACGAGTTCCACGTTCGTCCCGAAATTCACTCCATTTGGGCTGATATTAGCCATTATTTGCACAACAAACCTGAAATCGTATTGAGGACAAATATGGGAGCTATATCCAAATCTTAACCGTTCTCGATAAAATTTGGCAAAGGTATGTTATGTACTTGCTGCTAGACTGAATTCGGTCGGATGTACCAAAATTTAGGACTTTCTGACAGATATTGGCCGTTTGGTGCACATTTAACTCCAAATCGGTGAAAATTTTGATAAAATTGGGATGAGGTATTTCCGAGCTCTATAAGATATCTGGTACCAAATATCATAGTTGTCAAATGCATATTACGAATGTGGTTAGAACACTCCAGCATTAAATCTTTTGTGTCTCCTACCATCGCTCGTTACCGTGATACTGGTAGCGTAGCCTGACGTCAAGGAAGTTGACGGAAAAAACAGCAACATCAGCAGAAATGGTTCGAAAAGTAAAGAAGCGACTTGAACGAACCCCGCGTCGCAATATTCCATTCGGCAAATATTAAAAAATTAGTTCGGGGTAAATCCATTGAAATTCTAAAAAATTCAAGAACTTACACCGCAACAGAAAGAAAATAGACTCAAAAGAGCCAAAGAGTTGCTTCGCTTGGCCGAAAGTGGTGAACTGCCGAATTTGGTTTTCTCTCTCTCCGATGAGAAAACATTCGTTGTCCAGCTGTTTGTTAACAAACAAATTGATCGTGTTTACTTTCCAAAGAAGTCAGCTGAAAATGTGCACCCTCGGTTGGCCACCAGAACTCAAGCGCCGGCCGGCCATAAAGGTAGTGTGGGCCCTCATAACATCCGATAGTCGCTCTGCGCTCGTAATAATCGACCATGGCATCAGAATAAATGCCAAATATTATCGCGAAAATATTTTGGTTTAACCTTATATTCTGTATTAGCCTTGGGCTAAATCATTTTTGGCCGCAGAACTTGTACATTCCAACAGGACTCAGCACCATCGACTCAGCACGCGTCACCCAAGAATGATTATTAAATGAGGTTCATTCATTTCCAGAGCACAATGGCCAGCAAAATCTCAGGACACCAATCCGTTGGACTATTGTGTCTGTAGTATTTTGGAAAGCAAGATTGGCACTAAAAAATACAAAAGTGTCGATCACCTAAATCAAGCAAGCGCTTCGCCGGGAATGGACCAAAATACCGCAGAGCAACATTCAGGCTGTGTGTGAAGATTTCATTGGCCGTTTGAAGACTATAATTAGTGCAAAAGGTGACTAATTCGAACAAATCTAAACATATTCTAAAATTTGATGCGATTTCCGAAATTTACCAAGTTTCAAACAGTTTCGTGGGTAAATGTGACTAGGATTATCAAAATACGGTATATCGGTGGGTATCGTAATATATGCGCTATAGGAAAACGTGGACTTAAATATTCAATGTTCGGCCACCGGAACTAAGAACCTATTATGAACTACAAATATCAATTTTTAGACCAATCCGTGAAAAAATGTGGCAAAAATCATCAAAATACCGAATATAGGGAGTTACCGTTGTATGGCGGCTATACCAATACGTGGACCTATACATACAACGTTTCGCCACCAGAGCTAGAACCCATTATTACCAACAAATACCAATTTTTAGAGAAATCGGTGAAAAAACTGGCGAAAATCATTAAAATACCGAATATCGGAAGGTACCGTTCTATGGCGTCTACACAAAACCAACCATCCTAGACACAATACAAATTGTTGCGCCAAATTTTGAAGCTCTACGTCAAATAATGTTGGTTGTATCGTGATTTCAACATCAGGCGGGCGACTTAGATTTTTATGCTGATTATGAATATATATACTTTACGGGGTCTACAACGAATATTTAGGTGTATTACAAACGGAATGATAAAGTTGATATACCCTCCTTTTCAAGTGGAGGGTATAAAAATATATATTTCATAGTCTAATTTCAGACGATTTCAAAATTAAACTGCAATATGTCCATAATTAGTACTTATATTGGCAACATAAACCTTTGTTATCGGTGGATCTACTATATGTCCATTAGTGGTGTTAGGTATCATAAAGTCTGCAATGGCCGATTTTTTACTTTTCTTAGAGGTTTTTCTTATTAAATACGACCTTTTTTTTGCACACACCCCAAGGAAAACAGAAATAAAAGGTATGTATGTATGTAGCTACCTATGATGGTTGTTTCTTTGTTTTTCTTTTTTTCTAACTTACCTCTTTAACTTTTTGACGTTTCTCTTCAACGCTGACATCGCCATCGGCATGACCTCCCAATGGCATTTGTAAATTAACATTTCCCAAGGGCAGATTATTGTTGTCCAAAACGGCAGCAATGTCGTCATTGTTGTTGTTATTGCTGTTTCGGCTTTTCTTTGACTGACCATTGACGGGAGGGGCAGCACCCTGTTCATCACCGGCGCCGCCACCACCACCACCCGGTGCGGTATCATCAAACTGTTGGGGTGACCCGTTATCGGCATCGTCACCCGCATCTTCACTATTGTCCATAGCATTGTCTTTTTGCAGTTGTGGTTTATCCATTATTTCACCCAATTCCTCTTTAATTTTGGCCTGTAGCTTTTGGCGGTCATTCATGAAATGTGGGTCTTGGTCTTTGGGGGCATGTTTAGCTAAGGGTGGTGCCGGTATAAAAATTTCAGGACCGGCTTTTTGAAATTGTTTATAGACGCGCAGCACGCGATCACCACCAAAATTGTCGGGCAGCAGGAAAATGCCACCAAAACAAAGGAAACACAAGGTGGCCAATACCAAGCCAATGAGACATTTTTCACGATTATGGAAATTGGATTTACGTCCAATGGGACCAATGCGATACATTATAAAGGGCTGGGGTCTTTGGATGTTCTTGTTTAAGTTATTTTATTTTTTGGTTTTCTTTTTTTTAATTATTTTGTTATTGTTGTTGATTTTTGCAAACGCAGGCGTAAAACGTAATGAAACGTCAATAAATCGAAGGTGTTTCTTCTTTTCTCAGCTGTTTGATGATGATGATGAAGGCAATGACAGTGGCAGTTTGTCGAGACAAAGCCCACCATGCGCAGATACAAACAAACCACCTCGTACAGATGTTGACGTTAACGTCCAAAAAGAACAACAATGACAGACAACGGCGCAGGCAGTGCAGCGGCAGCAGACTTAAAAAAACACACACACAAGAATTGCCGAATTAAAATACCGGTAAGATGGGTAGGCGGCAATGCACAAAAATTAAGAAGAACAAACACAATTATTATAGCACTCTTTTTTCGTTCTCCTTGTTGTTGTATTTTTTATATTTTTAGCAAATTAACAATTTGCATGGTTAGCACAAAAATTCACGCTATTTAATTTTCGTTTTTTTTTTCACCTGAACCTGACAGCACAAAGAAACCAGGGCACTTCACTTTTCACCTCTTTGGACTTTCTTTTAGTTTCAAATATTTATTTTCAATTTTTTTTTTTTGACAAACGCCTAACCGACTTATTGAATAAAAAAAAAACGACCGGCTCTATGTACCGTCAGCAAACAATGAAGGCGGGATACTGTCACGTTGACATCCACATAAATTATTTTTTCCCAGCCGAAAAAAAGAGTATACTCTGAAAATCATACACACGCACACACACACTCGGCCACGTTATGATTGCTCCCCCGTACTCAGAGACGTATGAACGAACTCACGACAGACAAAAACAAACCCCAACAATACCGAAAACTGTTTAAATGGAGCAGCACCAACAAACATTAACTGAACACCATCAACCACTGGCAATGACAGACAATACCCGACCGAAACAAGAGCGGCAGCATTACCAATAGTTGTTGTTGCTTTTGTTAAAGAGAATCAAAACATTAGTTCTGCCAGCAGAGCGGAGAGCAGCACAAATAAAAAAACACTACTTTTTTTGTAATTACAACAAATGTTACAGCGAAGAGAAATGTTGTTATTAACCAAACCGTTAAATTTACTCCCCTCTTTTATGAAGGAGAGTTATTAATGTTTTGTCTCGGCAATAATTTAACCGCACAATTATTTGTTTATATTCAACTCTAAATGAACTGAATGCTCCACCGCCCCGACAAAATAGGAAAAAAAACACTTGTGTATATCCAAGCAGCAGCACTTTCTTCTTTCTTTGTTATTACTACTGCGTTTGTCTGTCTGGTATTATTTTTTTTTACACATAAAGAGAATTTGTATTTATTTCTCTTATTTAAAGTACTCAATTACGTCTACGATGACCCTTTCACATTGTCCACTGGTTAATTTGTTTCCAGGATTTAGTTTAACAAAATTATTTTATAATTTTCAATAATCAAATAAGAAAACCAATTGGAGGATGGATGATTGTGGATGCTTGAATGTTGCAAAAACCAATTTTCCTTTCTGATGATTGTCATCGGCCATTGTTTTACATTGACATTCGTAAGTATGTTTGAATTGCAACAGCGTTGCCAGATGTGAGAAAAAGTTGAGCTCAAATGCAGTGATACCATACTGGAGAATATGTATGGCGTTTTATTGGAAATCATGTGTTAGGTTAAAGGGCCATACATTAGTTTTGTGATTACAAACATTAAATAGTGTTTATACTTCGGATATTGTTAATAAATATTACACGACATCAATCATAAATCAACTTGCTGCTAATAGGAAAAGCAAAACAATGCAGTGTTAATTTTTTTCGTCAAATATTCAACATTATACGCAAGAAGTTCACTCAATTATTCGATTAGAATTAAAAAGGTATAGCCAAATTTAAATTTTGTTTACAAATTTTTGAAAATTATATCCCTATTTTTATTTATTTTAGCCCAAGCAAGTGAAACTGCTGTAAGTTCGGCTGGGCCGAATTTTGAATACCCTCCATCATTTGGAAAGAATTTGGCAATTTAAAAAAAAATAATAAAAAAAATTATGGTGGGAATACATAAAGCGCTTATTTGGCTGGCTTAAGTCATCGGCTAGCTTCTTCATTAAAATATTTAAATGCAAAACTTGAAAAAAATCGGTGAACAATGTAGCTAAAATCATCAAAATACAGAATATTTAGAGATACCATTATATGGGGGCTATACGAAGACTTAGGCAATTTTTTGTCATAGGCTGTGGTTTCCATTACGAACTTTAAATACCAAATTTGAAAAAATTCCGGTGAATAAAGTCGCTAAAATCATCAAAATACCGATTATCGTAAGGTACCGTTATATGGGGGCTATACGAAGTCGTGGACCTGCACAGATAATTTTCTGTCATAGACTGTGGTTTCCATTACGAACTTTAAATACCAAATTTGAAAAAATTCCGGTGAACAAAGTCGTTAAAATCATCAAAATACCGAATATCGGGAGATGCCGTTATATGGGGGCTATACGAAGTCGTGGACCTGCACAGACAATTTTCTGTCATTGGCTGTAGTATCCATTACGAACTTTAAATACCAAATTGGAAGCAATTCTGTTGAATAATGTCTCTAAAATCATCAAAATACCGAATATCGGGAGATGCCTTTATATGGGGGCTATACGAAGTCGTGGACCTGCACAGACAATTTTCTATCTTAAGCTGTAGTATTCATTACAAACTTCAAATATCAAATTTAAAACAATTCCGGTGAATAATGTCTCTAAAATCATCAAAATACCGAATATCGGGAGATGCCGTTATATGGGGGCTATACGAAGTCGTGGACCTGCACAGACAATTTTCTGTCATTGGCTGTAGTATCCATTACGAACTTTAAATACCAAATTGGAAGCAATTCTGTTGAATAATGTCTCTAAAATCATCAAAATACCGAATATCGGGAGATGCCTTTATATGGGGGCTATACGAAGTCGTGGACCTGCACAGACAATTTTCTGTCATATGCTGTAATATCCATTACGAACTTCAAATATCAAATTTGAAACATTTCCGGTGAATAATGTCGCTTAAATCTTCAAAATACCGAAAATAGGGAGGTATCATTATATGGGGGCTATACCATTTTCAATACCAAAAGTCCATGCAGACATTTGAATAACATTTTATCAACCTACTTCATTTTGTTCGGAAGCTACAGTGATTTCCACAGATGCACGGACGGACATCGCTAAATCGACATAGAATTTTATTCTGATCAAAGAAGTATGATATTCTTGATCAGAATAAAATTCTATGTCGATTTAGCGATGTCCGTCCGTCTGTGGGGCCAAACTTGAAACAATTCCGGTGAAAAATGTCGCTAAAATCATGAAAATACCGAATATCGAGAGGTGCCGTTATATGGGGGCTATACGAAGACGTGGACCTGCACGAACAATTTTCTATCATAGTATCCATTACGAACTTCAAATATCAATTTTAAAACATTTTCTGTGAATAATGTCGCTTAAATCACCAAAATACCGAAAATAGGGAGATACCATTATATTTTCAATACCAAAAGTCCTGCAGACAAAAGTGCTGCAGATAAAAGTCCTTCATTTTGTTTTTTAGCTAGAGTGATTTCCACAGACGGACGGGCAGACTGACATCGCTAAATCGACATAGAATTTTATGCTGATCAGGACTTTGTGGGGTCTAAAATGTAAATTTCGAGATATTACAAACGGAATGAGAAACCATATTATAGTAGAGGGTATACAAATTGTTCAGAAAATATTAAAATTCGCTGCTCCGTTCCAGAACTGCAAGAATGTAAATGCAAGTACTGGAACAGAGCAAGGGTGTTTTCAAAATGCTTATTGCAACGTATGCATCGACAAAATCTACAGTTTTTGTAGCGAAATAAACCTTTGGAGATATATAGAACATGATCAATTTTGACCTTTTATTCAGTTTTCGCGGTTTTCAATTATTTATTCGAAATCAATGCAATAACTTTTTTATTTTTTTTTATTGTATTCATAGTAATTCTGACATTACAAGCCAAACAGGTAGACCTCTATACTTGAAGTTTTTTTTCAAAGTTAGCCTATCTTGTCTTCATTGTACCACGGAAGAGTTTCTTGCAGTTTCTGGAACAGAACAAAGGCGGATATTGGGTGTACGCAATAAGTATCACTTCAGTGACAGCAAGTTATGAGTCTGAGTTCACGTATAGACTCGTATTGCTGTTCCATCCTATATTCTGCAGTTTGATAATTTGAAATGAAAAAAAAAATAGTCTTTGAAATTTTGTTATGGGAGTTCCTACGTATATAGCCGTAGTGCAGTCGGAAAGTGATAGCAAGCACGATATTAGTAGAGTGGGAACATGGCATTACTTAATACATTTTATCGATTTTTTCGTAATCGACTTCAAGTTTAGCTCATTAATCGAAACTCAGGTTTTATTTACGAATATTGAACAAAAGGAATACTGGAAAAAAGTACTTAACAAAATGGCTGATAATACTTGAAATTCTTTCCAAGTACTTGAAGCACAGCTGGAGTATTCGCTGATCCATAACAACACGCACAAGAACAATGAATTTGTTCTGAGAATCGAAGGCCACGGATAGCAGCCATAGGTGTCACAAATAGCTGATAAATTCTAAAATGCAAACATTTAATGGAGCAGATGAAGAACCTGTAATTAAATACGAACATTGTGACGATGTTTATGGTGTGGAGCATAGCAACGACAATATACAAACCATGAATCCTAATTACTACAATAATCAATTACAACATTCAGTCAATCAACAGTCTTCCCATCACCAAACGCCTGGTCAGCGTTCACATCAATCGACCGCCACTATAGCGGCTGCAATGAAACGAACTTTTGATCAAATGCAACAGCAGCAGCAACAACAAAACGGCAGTAGTTCACAAAGTGGAAATTACAACAATGCCAATAATATTAACCCATATTTTTCGGCACATTCCTCCTCGTATGGTGGGAGTGGGATGACGGTTCATGGTCCATCGGATTTTGATATGTTTAATCAACAATTAACTAACAGAGTGGACAATCTTTATAGATCTAATGCCCAGTCCGAAGGGAAACCTACGAAGAAATATAGACGTGGAGAGTCTAGTATACTGTTTAGTCCACCATTTTTCAAATTGGTAAGTTGGGGGCTGGAAGATGGAAACATCGGTATTAGCTAATGGTATATAACGAGTGAGAAAAAGAATAACTTTTAGAAGGAATAATAAATTTTAAACTAGAGTTCACTAAGACCGATTACAGGGTATTATGTATGTTGCATTCGTAATAGGAAGCGGGGGGGAATATCTAGTTTACGTTTAATGATCTATGTAGACTGTTTTCTGTGGGCTCCTCTACAACCAACAAGAATAAACAAGAAATGATTACATATTTACAATTAGGAGAGCCAGATTAAACAGTCCGGTTTTGAGACCGTGGCTACTTCAATTCCCCATAACTACAAAGTTTCTGGAGATAGCTTAATAAGTTTGGCAAGGGTTTGAGACTGTGGCTACTTCAATTAGCTGTTACTACAAAGATTCTGGAGTTAGTTGAACAGACTTTCAAAACGATGGGGTAGATCTTTTGCCCTACGTTTTTGTTGTAACTTTAAATTTTTATACCCTACAGCACATAGTGTGGTAAGGGTATTTTGTCTTTGTGCATTTGTTTGTAAAATGGAAAAGAAAGCGAGATAGGCCCATACTTTCTTTTGAGGCTCTTCATTGAATCACTCTTTGAGTCGATATATGCATGCCTGTCCGTCCGTTCGACCGTCTATGTATTCTTGTGAACAATATGAAGGTCGCATTTATTATCCGATTGAGATGGAATTTTCGAAACAATATTTGTTTGACCCAAGGACGAATCCTTTTGAAATTGGTGAGAATTGGTTGAAATTTAGATATAGCTCCCATATATATCTTCAACCGATTTCATGTTTATTGTGGACCAAATGGCTAATATCAGCCCAAATGGAACATCCGACCAAATTCAGTCTAGAAGCAAGTACATCAAATTTAATGAAAATCGGTTCAGAAATAGCTATAGCTCCCATATATATGTTTCATCCGATTTGTCGTTTAATTCCCTCACATTCGTAATATGCACTCCACATAAATGATATTTGGTACCTGATATCAAATACAGCCCAGAAATACCTCTGCCAGATTTGGATATAGCTCCCACCGAAAACGGCTCAGATTTGGATATAGCTCCCCTATATATCCTTAATCCGTTCTCAGGTTTATTGTGCAAATAATGGCTAATATCAACTCAAATGGAAAACATTTCGGGACGAAGGTTTCCATTTAGCAGAATTCGGCTCCGATATATTTTTTTTAATAAAATCCTTCTCGAAGTGATATCATGCACCCTATAGCAATGTTTTTTTGGTATAAAAGATAAATCTGTCTCCGTCAAATTTACTGAAAATTGATTCAGAATTGGATATCCCTCCAATATATTAGTTCCCTCTGAAACCAAATTATAACTGCACTAAAGTCAAAGGTTGATCGGTGGTATGATCTACTTCAAATAAATTCTTTTGTTACGGGAGCTCTACTAAATATGCATAGTGGTGTAGGGTATCATATAGTCGGTCCCGCCCGCATTTTGACTATTATCCTTTTATATCATTACGGTTAAATCGTCTTTATATTAAACGTAAAAAAATAATGAACTAACTAATTATCCTGAGATTTAAATCAATAAAAACTTCCTTTTATTTCTATTTCAGTTGGATGGATTTGCATCACCCAATCACAAGGATGCCATTGCTGCACGTTGTTACGCCTGTGGCAAAGTTGTACGTGGCAATAAAAGTATTTCCTCCAATTTTATAAAGCACATGAAACGTGGCCATCCTGAGATTAATAAAATCTATGACAGCTATAAAATGTATCGCATTAAGACTGGTGTGCTGCCGAATATAAGTCAAATTATTGCCGGTTGCAAAATGGATAGTGGAAAATTTGATAAAGACGATAGTTCGGGAATTGTTTGTGATTCCAATGACGATGACAATGGCTCGCAATATATTGATGCATCAGTTGTATTGGACTCATCGGAAATGGGAGATGGAGAGAATGAAGCCGAAAATGATGCGGATGCTACAGAGGATAATAAGAATTCTGAGAATTCTGAAAATGATGATGAATTTACAAATGCAAAATCGATTGAGGGGAGAGATTGTAATTCGGAAAATTCACATTATAGGAGTAGAGAAACAGAGGAGAATCCCAACCATTTAGAGGATGTTATTAATAAAATTGTTGAAGAAAAACTAAAAGATTTTGTGAGACAAACAGATCTGGATAAATTTCAAAAAACCTCTTCAGATTCGGCCTCCTTAGAAGAGCTTAAAAGAGAGGTGGAGAACTTGAAAAAAGAATGTTCAACCTTAAGACTGGCCGTTCAGCAGTCCCAGGCCAGCAAAAGACAACTACAGACTGAATTGCAAAGTGTGGACAAATTGTTGCATCAACGCAAACTAATTATACGAAATCTTAAATTAGACAACGAACTTGTGCCACAAAAATCTGTTCAAACATTCCTGGCCAAAAAATTAGGTTTGGAAGACATTAACATTGTCAATTGTACCATTATACCATCATCGAAACCATCTTTAGATACAAAGAAAAAATGCGTTTTGATTGAATTACAAAATCATTTGGATGCGAAAAATATTCTTCGCCAAATTCCTAAACTAAAAGATACTGGAATATTTATTGAACCGGAAATTTCACCATTACAACGTAAGCGAAAAGACAAATTAATGATAATACGCAAAGAATTGCTGCGTCGCAAGGTCGATCTAAAAGTAATGGTGCGCAACACAACATTGGTCGTCGAGGGCCAACAATTTTATTGGGATGACATCGAGGGTCTGTGCCATGACGCCAACAAAGAGGCTTTGGAGCTGAATGCCATTGAATACCTAAAGAAACTGACCACCCTCGATTTGAAGGAATTCATTGACATTATACAAAACTATGATGTACAAGTTAGATAAGAAAATAGATTGTAAGAGTTGAGTGTAAATAATTTTAACAGTATTTTTTCTGAATGATTATTTGTTAAGACTTTTAAAGTATTTTTGTACCCGTTAAACTACATATAAAATATATGTTTTAAAATTATTAATTTTTCTGTTATTATATATAAATGTATCCTATCTAGGGTTAGAAGCCGCAGACTGAATTCTTAATACCTAAGAATATAGTGTTTATACCCTACACCACATAGCGGTAAAGTTATTATGTATTTGTACATTTGTTTGTAACACGGAGAAGGATGCGAGATAGACCAAAGTTTCTTTTGAGTATCTTCATAGAATCATTTTTGAGTCGATTTATGCATGTCAATCCGTCGCATTTATTTTATTTATGTATGTCGAATTTATTATCCGATTGAGATGAAATTTTCCAAAAAAAAAAAAAAATTAGCCTAAGGAAGAACCCTATTGAAATTGGTGAGAGTCTGTTCAAATTTAGATATATCTTCCTTCGAATTCGGCTTAATTGTGCATTAAATGGCCACTGTCAGCCCAAATGGCACATCCGACAGAATTCAGTCCAGAAGCAAGTACACCAAATTTGGTGAAAATCTATTCAGATATAGCTTTATTTCCCATATAAATCTTTCTTCCGATTTTGTCTTAAAATCCCTCACATTCGTAATATGCACTCCACAAGAATGATTTTTGGTACCAGATATCTTATAAAGCCCGGAAATACCTTTGCCAAATTGTATTGAGATCGACTAAGATTTATATCATTAATCCGATTTCAGGTTTATTGTGCAAGTAATGACTAATATCAACCATAATGGAGTGAATTTCGTGGATTTTTGTGGAACTCGGCTTCGATATATATTTTATACCCTCCACCATAGTATGGAGGGTATTTTAAGTTTGTCATTCCGTTTGTAACACATCGAAATATACATTTCAAACCCAGGGTGAGATGAAAAAACTGCGACCAACTTCAACAACTAATGCTGGTAGCGTAGTCCGATATCAAGGAGTGGATTGAAGAAAACAGCAACATCAGCAGAAATGGCTCGAAGAGTAAAGAAGCGACTTGATCGAAACCCGCGTCGCAGTGGGCGAAAAATGTCTCGTGAGCTGAACATATCGCAATATTCCATTCGGCAAATATTGAAAAAAAAAGCCACTGAAATTCCAAAAAGTGCAAGAACTTACACCGCAACAGAAAGAAAATAGACTCAAAAGAGCTAAAGAGTTGCTTCGCTAGGCCGAAAGTGGTGAACTGCCGATTTTGGTTTTCTTCGAAAAGAAAACATTCGTTGTCCAGCAGTTTGTAAACAAACAAAATGATCTTGTTTACTTGCCAAAGAGATCAGCTGAAAATGTGCACCTTCAGTTGGCCACCAGAACTCAAGCGCCGGCCATGGTGATGGTTCGGGCCGCCATAACAGCCGATGGTCGCTCTCCGCTCGTATTAATCGACCGTGGCATCGGAATAAATGCCAAAATACCACAGAGCAACATTCGGGCAGCGTGTGACGGTTTCATTGGCCGTTTGAAGGCCATAATTCGTGCCAAAGGTAACCAATTCGAACAAATCTAAACTTATTCTAAAATTCGATGATATTTCCGACATTTTTTGCTTTCATTCAATAAAATTAAGAAACATGTAAGAATTATGGCGTTTGACTTTGTTGCAGTTTTTTATTCTTGATCAGCATAAAATTCTAAGTCGGTTTAACGATGTCCGTCTGTCTGTTGAAATCACGATACAGGCCACATTATTTGACGTAGAGCGTCAAAATTTAGCAGAATAATTTGTATTGTGTCTAGGATAGTTGGTATTGAAAATGACATATATCGGTCCACTTTTTGGTATAGTCCCCATAAAACGGTACCTCCCGATATTCGGTATTTTGATTATTTTTGCCGCATTTTTTCATGGATTTGTCCAAAAATTTGTATTTGTAGGTCATAATGGGTTTTAGCTCCGTTGACGAAACATTGCATGTATAGGTCCACGTTTTTGTATAGTTCCCATATAACGGTATCTCCCGATATTCGGTATTTTGATGATATTTGCCACATTTTTTCACGGATTTTTCTGAGAGTTGGTATTTATAGGTCACAATGGGTCCTAGTTCGTGTGGCGAAACATTGTATGTATAGGTCCACGCATTGGTATAGACCCCATATAACGGTATCTTCCGATGTTCGGTATTTTGATGGGTTTTGTCACTTTTTTCACGGATTTGTCTAAAAATTGGAATTAGTTGGTCATAATAGGTTCTATCTCCGTTGGCGAAACGTTGTATGTATAGGTCCACGTTTTTGTATAGCCCTATATAGCGGTACCTCTCGATATTCGGTATTTTGATGATTTTTGCCACACTTTCCCACGAATATATCTAAAAATTGGTATTGGGGTGGGTCATAATTGGTTCTAATGTTTCCATTACCCTATGTGGAGGGTAATAAAAGTTCGGACCGGCCAAACTTAATGTTTTTTTACTTGTTATTATTTTAAAAGAATTTTTAACGGATTTTATTTTTTGGAAAATTGCAAAATTCTTTCCAAATGGTAGAGGATATTCATACTGCTTTTTTTATGTGTTTGATTTCTCTTTCGTGACGAGCTTAATGATCTGAAATTTTCGTTTTTATTTGTTTTAATATAATCCTTCTCGCAGTGATATCATGCAATCTATGACAATGTTATTAACTTTTATACCAAGATTAAAATGTCTCCGTCAAACTTACTGAAAATCGATTCAGAATTGGATATGACTCCCATGTATTAGTTTCCTCTGTAGCTAAACTATAACTGCTCTAAAGCCAAATGTGGATGGGTGGTATGATCTACTTGAAATAAATTATTTTGTTACGGGAACTCTTCTAAATATGCATTGTGGTGTAGAGTATTGTGTAGTCGGTCCCGCCCGACTTTAGACTTTTTTACTGCATTTTAACTTTTTTTTTGTAATATTTAGATTTTTTAAAGGGAGAAAAAAATTACACTTCTTCTTCTACCCTCCCTCCCTCCAGCTAATGTTCCTTCCTATAACAAAATATTCGGTGTCTGACTTCCGTTTTAAAAAGCAAGATAAATGACTGTGTATTCACGTACAAGTATATATGTAGGTCAGAAGCGTGTGAAACACTTCCACTAAACTGTTGCACTAAAATGTCAGTTATAAACTAGCCACCTATTAGCATTTTGAAACATTTGATATCTTCGTTATGACTATTAATTAATATTTAGTTTTTTTTCCAAACATCATAAACATATGCTAATTTCAAATATCAAATGAAACCTTCCACCAACCATGTAGAGGGTGTCTTGTAATACTTTGCAGAAAACGATAAATCATTGTGGTATTTTTTTTTTTGTCTTTCAAAATAATAATTTCAATATAAAAAATGATTCGTGTTTCGAACGAAATTTGAACAAGTAATTAACAAACTAGTGCTGCTGCTGCAATCGTCGCAAAAAATCATCTAACCACAGATCGTGAGAAATTCATAAAGAATTTGAAATTTGAATGGTTTGTTTTTTTTTTCTCTCTCTCTCTCTCTCTCTCTCCTTCCTCTTTTAACTGACACCTACTAATCATCAGCAGCAAAGGCTATCATCTATTAAGGCAATGTCATGACATCTTCCAACTATTTCATCGATTTGTTTTGTTTAAATGTGACAGCAATTAATTTGTAAACATTTAACAAATTAATTGGTGGATTTCAAATGTGAATGGGAAAGAAATATATCTCTGAACATATTTTCATTTGGGAAAGTGCTGTTTAACTTCGCGGACAACTTGTGACCATCTTGCTCCGAAGACTTGCTAATTGTAAGAGTACAATATATCTTTTATTAAGTGAGGACCCTCTACCGATCTTCTTTTTTGTATTGGTTGAATAGAAGACTCGTTTAGTGTGTTATATTTGTAAGGGAAAACCAGTAAGGAAGGGTCAAACGTCGGGCGGGCCGACTATACGATTCCCTACACCACTATGCATATTTTGTAGAACTCCCGTAACAAAAGAATGTATTTGAAGTAGATCATACCATTTGGCTTCAGAGCAGTTTCAGAGTTTGGTTTCAGAGGGAACATCCAATTCTGAATCGATTTTTAGTAAATTTGACGGAGACCTTTTTATCTTTTATACCAAATAACATTGCCATAAGATGAATCATGTCACTTCGACAAGGATTATATTTAAAAATATATATATCGGAACCGAGTACTGCTAAATGGAAACATACATTCTGAAATTCACTCCATTTGGTCTGTTATTATCCATTATTTGCACAATAACCCTGAAATCGGCTAAAGGATATATATGGGAGCTATATCCAACTCTTAAACATTCTCGATAAAATTTGGCAAAGGCATTTCCGAGCTCTATACATTTCTTGGGGTGCACATTGTGAATATGGGGGACTTACAGACCAAATCGGATGAAACATATACATGGGAGCTATAGCTATATCTGAACCTTTTTTCTCCAAATTTGATGTACTTGCTTCTAGATTAAATTCGTTCAGATGCACCAAAATACATGACTTTTCGACAGATATTGGCCATTTGGTGCACAATTAACACGAAATCGGTTGAAGATATATATGAGAGCTATATCCAAATCTGAACAGATCTTGATACAATTTGACAGAGGCATTTCTAGGCTGCATCTGATACCAAACATCATTTTTGTGGTGTGCATATTACGAATGTGGGGGTGTTTAACACCAAATCCGATGAAACAAATATATGGGTGCTATAGCTATTTCTGAACCGAATTCGATGTACTTGCTTCTAGACTGAATTCGGTTGGATGTACCAAAAATCTGTTAATTTGGGCTGATATTAGCCATTAGGTGCACAATAAACTTGAAATCGGGTAAAGGTATATATGGGTGTTATATCCAAATCTGAACGGATCTTGAGAAAATTTGGTAGAGATATTTCAGAGCTCTATCAGAGATCATTGTTGTGGAGTGCATATTACGCACGTGAGGGACGTAAGACCCCAAATAGAATTAAACATATATATGGGTGCTATAGCTATATCTGAACCGATTTTCTCCAAATTTGATGTACTCGCTTCTAGGCTAAATTCGGTCGGATTTGTGCCAAAATTCAGCTCATTTGGACTGATGT